GAGTTTTATTGCATTACTTTTTATGTAGGATTATTTTGTCTATTAATTAATTGCAAATATTGTCCATAGTCATGAATACTGTCTTGGTAATCAGTTATACACATCATTGGTTATTAGGAATTCTTTGTTGTTACTATGATATGATACAGATGCATTAATTATACCATTAATTATACCATTGGAATACAGTCAATCATAGTATGAGACTTTGATGTGAATCTTGAGATATTGGTAACAGAATATTGAATAACAAAATGAGCATGACATGAAACCATTGAAATGACCCTCCCAGGTGACATTGGAGGAGAGCATCAGGTACAAGAGTGGAGACCCGGTGGAGAAGTGGCTCCACGACCTACTCTGCTTGGAGGCTTCACTGCCGCCGAGCCCTGCTGCAGTGCCCCCACCCAGCCAGTGCCAGCTCTTCTATGTCAACAGAGATACTCTCTTTGGATATCACAAGGTTAGAACATCCCTTTCTAGAGATTTCTTCTATTTTGCTTTCATTTTCACTTTCTTGTTTCATGGTAATATGGACATAAATTTCCTAATGTTAATGAAATCAGCATTTGTAGATTCACATTTATAGAATTGCATCACTTTTATCAGGCAAAAAGCATCCCTACTCTTTCACATTCATTTTCATGTAATTTCCTGGAATAATAACAAATAGGGGACTTACTGAACTTCAGTTCTCAGAAAATGGAACAAATATGAAATATATGCCAGCAAAAGAAATAATTTGGACTCAGCTGACTGTCCCGCTTGACAAATTTTCTTCCCCAAAGGTATCAGAAAAGTTCCTGGCACAAGTGATGGGTCTTCTGGTGTCCTCACACTACCGCAACACACCCGATGACCTTCAAACCCTCTCTGACGCCCCTGCCCATCATCTGTATGTCCTGCTGCCCCCACAGGACACGGCCAAGGGCGACACGCTGCCACCCGTCCTGACAGTCGTTCAGGTGGGATTTTTTTTCTTCTTCCTTTTTTTTTTTCTTCCTTCCTCATTTTTTTGTGCTTGCTTCTTCTCAGGCATGAACACTTGATAAGATATTGGATATTGGGAAAGCACAGAGGATGAGTGTCAGAGCTTAACTTTAACCCTTTGGATGACGACAGCTTTCCTTGCACAGAGGTAATCAACACAATAACAATAAGTAACCTTTTTTTATTTGTGTCATATTTTAACTTTTTTGTAATATTCAAGTTTCTGTACCACAACCTGCACTGCTGGTCACAGCAGGAATAGGATCTTGAGGGTGGATATAGCAATCTCTCTGGAGCCAAGAGCTTTGTGCATTTGTGCCCTCAGCCAGATTTACCCATGACATGTTCATGTCGCCTGCCCCTCAAACCTAAATTTTTTTATTATGTGATTGTCATGTCAACCAGATCGTAGGGGTTAATTTATACCTCAAGATTCCTGTTTCATTCATTAACAGTATGTTATTGCTATTGCTTTCTCTTCTATTTTTCCTTCCAATTCCTCCTCCTCTCCACCTCTTCCTCCTCCTCCTCATTCTCTTCTTCCTTTCTCTTCTGTCTCAAATCTGTAGTTTTAACATTTAAGTATATGATAGCCATCCCCAACTTTAATGCATATTACAGTTCTAATTTCCCCCTTTTCCCTTGCCTCTCTAGGTGGCGTTGGAGGGCAAGGTATCCAAAGCCTCAGTGATGTCAGCTCTTGCGCAAGGGGTGAAGCCCTCAGGTGACCTTGTGCCCTGGACCGTCAGCAACCAGTTCCAGAACTATGATTTCCCGCAGCTGTCTGGGGCGCGAATCATTCGCATTGCCACACACCCCAGCTTCCAGGGGGTGAGTCCTGCTTGTTGCTAGTGAGACAGACAGACAGAAAGGCAGTCAGATAGACAGATAGATAGACAGATAGATAGACTGACAGACAGACAGACAGACAGATAGATTGGCAGACAATATTTATATATATGTGCGTGTGCGTGTATGTGTGCGTGTGTGTATGTGTATGCATATGTTTTGTTTTACCCAGAGTTCAGGTAATGTGTATGAAAATATTCTATTTTATTTTTTACTAGCTTATAAATCATATTTAGATGCTTTTTTGTGTCCTTTCAGATAATATCTATATTTTTTCTCTAATCTTCATGGGATGAAATCTTTTTGATGAATATAATATCCAACTAAAAAAAAAGATACTGATATCTCCATTTTCCTCAGCAAGGGTATGGGAGTCAGGCACTGAAGCTGCTAGAGGAATACTTCAGTCAGGCCTCCATGCACGCGGACTATGTGGACACACTCACACCTGAAGCATCACTGAAGTTAGTGCAGGATGATCAGGTAGGTTTCAGGATTCTCTCTGTAATGAGAACATGCTACTTAATGGATGGAGTGCTTTTGATTGACTTTCTTTATCTTTGGGCTAGTATTTCTTGCAGAGGAAAGGCTTTACTTGTGTATTATTTGTATTCTGTTGGGATTAACTTTTGTTTTCAAATATCCATTGTCAACAGAATATGTTGAATGTTATCTTTGAATTACAGATATATTTATATTTTCTCTATCTGTGAAGGTTGGTTTGCTGGAAGAGAAGCTGGGACCAAACCACCAGTCTCCTCCTCTCCTGGAAGCCCTCTCTGAGCGGCCACCAGAAGCCTTACACTACCTTAGTGTGTCGTACGGGGCAACCCAGCAACTCCTCACTTTCTGGAAAAGATCTGGATTTACTCCAGTTTACCTCAGGTATAAACAGACAGTAGTGGATAAGTAGATTGATGCATGGACAGCTAGAAAAGGAAATGTTTGTTGTCTTTTGTTTTCCTCACTTGAGTTCATGTTAAGTCTATAAATGATTTTTCCTTTTACTAATTCCTTTAATGTAATTCATAATGTATATAATTATACAGATTATATTATTATAATAAGTCTGGATAGGAAAACATCAAATAACCTAAAAATATTATTTGAAACATTTTACAGTTCATGCAAGAAGTATTTGTGCTTAAACTAATTCACAATGTTACTCTTAGAAAATCATTACTCACTGCTCATAAAAAATATGAATTGATGCATACTCAGTCAGGAACTACCTCTAGTCAGTCCGACCCCAGTAAGCCCATCTGGAATGTAATCTCTTATTCTGTCCGTAGTCAAGTGTCGAACAATGTCACGGGGGAACATACCATCATTATGCTCAAGGTTCTGGCGGAGAGCAAGGAAGCACGAGGGGAGTCATGGCTGGCTGATCTGTGGTTCGACTTCAGGAAGAGGCTGGTTGCTCTGTTGGGCTGTGCATTCAAGAGCTATGACTGCAAATTTGCCCTCAGTATCATGAGCAACAGCATTTACAAGAGGAAAGGGGGAGGTAGGTTGAGGGACTTTTGAGAATTTTATGATTAACTCACTTGCTGCTATACAGGGATTAAGCAAGGCAGACAGATTAAGCTAGACAAGCCAGAAAGGAGCTGTCTTTGCTTCTAGTTTTTCTATTAAAAAGATTGGGAGTTATGCTGTCTTTGGCAGGCTGTAGCTCAAGAACTAGTAGCATTGTAGCCATAAAGCCCATGCCAGTACAACACACAGAAGACATCTATAAATGCCATTGTCATGGCATATGTATGTCATCGAGAATTTTAGCTCACTCTTGGCACGTATAGATGCCATCCACTGTTAGGTTAATATTTCTCGTTTTCCTTTAAGGAATACTTTTATTCTTATTTTTGTCATGTATTGATAAATGAAAATGAACCAGTGTTGATCTGTACTAGGAAATGTGTAGCAAACCTCAATGTGTAATGTAAATATTGTCTCTCCATTTAGTGCCAAGCTTATCAGAACTGGATCTGTACATGACCAGTGGAGACCTCCAGCGCTTAGAGGAGTTCCTCCACCACCAGTGCGAGTCTCCATTGATTGCAGACATCCTGCCCTCCTTTGCACGGCTCTACTTCCTCTCCAAGATCCCAGACTTTAAGCTAAAGCCAGTGAAAGCAGTAAGGGTTCCTGTGTTCTTTTTCTTCTTTTGTTTTTTGTTATTCTTCATCATCTTTAGTATAACTATTGTTATTGTTTTGGTTGTAATTTTTATTGTCATTTTGAAAAAATTCAGTTGAATACATCATTATGAAGAAATAAATGCAAAGGTCAATTATTTATTCTCAGCATAATTGATATTTGCATTTTTTTGTTGCAATTTCTGTGCAGTTCCTTGTCAGCCATAAAATTTCCCCATTATGAGCATTGCTTGCACTCGTTTCAGGCCATCCTGTGTGGAATTGGCATCCAGAGGAAACCTCCGAAAGTAGTTGCAACTGAGCTGGGTGTTGAACCGGGGCTTGTCTTGGGCCAAATGCGCGAGCTCATAAATGACATCACGAAGTTTATGGCAAGTGTTGTATCTTCTTTCTGTTCTGAATGATCACAAGGAAGTGATTCCAGTTATTACTGGATGATATGTATTTCCCTTTACCGTCTGTTTACTTGTGTTCCAAAATTTAGTGATAACAGATTAATTAGTTTTGTTTAAATCATGAATTGTAATAAGATTTTTTTTCTTTTATTTATGCAAACATTCTAAAATTCTTATTGTTAAGTTGAATTTTTTTTCTTTCTTTTCACTATAACTTGCTTTTCATAAATCTTGTGTAATATAATAAAGAATTGTGGAACTACTTCTGTTCCTTATTATGAATGTATTTAGCAGACACAGATTGAGCATTTATTTACTCTAATGTAAGATCTTCCTCCTCTAGAAAAAGACACGAGAAATTGCCTGTCAGGAAGAGGTCAACGGAAAAGAGAAGGAAAACCACCAGTCTCTTGCGGCTGACATTGCCTCGACAGTTGAGGAGGCAGCTAAGGTATGGTTGGGAGGAGATGCATTTCTGTAATTCATAGTGACTGTAGTTGACTTTCTGTTTATCTCTCTATTAAATGTATGGAGCCAAAAGAAAGGGATCCAGCTGTGCAGGATATTACATTGATGCATTCATATTCTCTATATTTCTTTGTGTATATTTGTTTTTTTAGAGTCCCCCACAGAGCACGCATTCCACATCATTTATTATCTTATCTCAATAAGTCTTAGTCTACACAGAGCTGTCCTTGCACCACTCTCTTTGTTGTAGATTTACCTGTTTGCCTTTTCTGAAATCCATTTATACAGAATATGAAAGCCCAAGAAGAGGACAACCGAGAGAAAGTCACTCAGCTGATTGATGTCTCCAAGTTCGGTATAAAGGGCAAAGAACAGGAAGTGAAGGTGGAGAGTGACAGGTGAGGAAATAATTTACAAAATTACAAAAAAATGGATTATTGAATAAATGAAGTAATATAAACAGGACAAGGAAATATTGATTTTGTATTTGTCACATTAATTGTATTTCTTCAACTTCTGTTACATCTCATTGCTCCTCCTTCTCCACTTTTCCTCCTTTTCTTCCTCATCCTTAACCTCATCATCTCATTCTCCTTTCTCCTTCTCATCCTCTTCCTCTTTCTTCTCTTCATCCTTTTCTTCTTCCTCTCACCTCCTCCTCCTCCTCCTCCTCCTCCTCCTCCTCCTCCTCCTCCTCCTCCTCCTCCTCTCTCCACCTCCTCCTCCTCCTCCTCCTCCACCTCCACCTCCTCCTCCTCCTCCTCCTCCTCCTCCTCCTCCTCCTCCTCCTCCTCCTCTCCACCTCCTCCTCCTCCTCCTCTCCTCCTCTCCACCTCCTCCTCCTCCTCTCCACCTCCTCCTCCTCCTCCTCCTCCTCTCCACCTCCTCCTCCTCCTCTCCACCTCCTCCTCCTCCTCCTCCTCTCCACCTCCTCCTCCTCCTCCTCCTCTCCACCTCCTCCTCCTCTCCACCTCCTCCTCTCCACCTCCTCCTCCTCCTCCTCCTCCTCTTCCTCCTCCTTTCCTCCTCCTCTCCACCTCCTCCTCCTCCTCCTCCTCCTCCTCCTCCTCCTCCTCCTCCTCTCCACCTCCTCCTCCTCTCCACCTCCTCCTCCTCCTCCTCCTCCTCCTCTTCCTCCTCCTCTTCCTCCTCCTCTCCACCTCCTCCTCCTCCTCCTCCTCCTCTCCACCTCCTCCTCCTCCTCTCCACCCCCTCCTCTTCCTCCTCCTCCTCCTCCTCTCCACCTCTTCCTCCTCCTTCTCCTCCTCCTCCTCCTCCTCCTCCTCCTCCTCCTCCTCCTCCTCCTCTCCTCTCCACCACCTCCTCCTTCTCCTCTCCACCACCTCCTCCTCCTCTCCACCACCTCCTCCTCCTCCTCTCCACCTCCTCCTCTTCTTTCTCAATCTCCTCCTCCTCTCCACCTCCTCCTTTCCACCACCTTCCTCCTCCTCCTCTCCACCTCCTCCTCTTCTTTCTCAATCTCCTCCTCCTCTCCACCTCCTCCTCCTCTCCAACCTCCTCCTCCTCCTCTCCACCTCCTCCTCCTCCTCTCCACCTCCTCCTCCTCCTCCTCCTCCTCTCCTCCTCCTCTCCTCCTCCTCCTCCTCCTCCTCCTCCTCCTCCTCCTCCTCCTCTCCACCACCTCCTCCTCCTCCTCTCCACCTCCTCTCCACCTCCTCCTCCTCTTCCTCTTCCTTCTCAATCTCCTCCTCCTCTCCATCTCCTCCTCCTCCTCTCTTCCTTCAATGCATGCTCTTCTCCATTTTTTCCTTTTTTTCTCTTGTCTTCCATTTGCTTTTTCTTCTCACTTTACAATGCTTCTCAATATTAACGTCCCCTTTTTTCCCCATGCAGCAAGAAGAGAAAGATATTACTCGGAGAAAACATCAAAAAGAAGAAGAAAGGTGAATGATTTGGAAATCTGTAAATTGTTTTATAATAAATATATAAAACTGTTAATTGTTTATTATAACAGATATATGAAATGGAAAGTGTCATTACCCATGAAATATTTGTAATACACTTGTATTTTTTTTTGTTTTTATTTATTTAATTTTATTTGTATTATGATTATTATTGGATTAACAAGTGCAAATAATAAGTTATGAAATGGGAAGAAGCTGTGTAAAAAGTCAGACCTTTTTTATGTAAGGAAGAAGTTATTAAGATACATGGATCAACAAAAAAAAAGCTGGGATATGCAAGAAAATTTGAAAGCACACAAACAGCACAAATTACCCAAAAGTGAATGGTTTCTGAGGAAAAGGAATTGTACTGGAGAAGGAACTACTTTGAGGAAGTATGAATTAACCAATGATACATGCTTTATCCCCAAACCCCACTCTAATGCTATGTTTTGTATACACTGTCAATGACCTTAGATGTTGACATGGCAGAAAATGTTCATAAATAAATAGATACCTTGGGCCTCAGGTCACAGCTTCCCCTTTCCTTTTCCTTCTCTTCAATCTCTTCTCCGTCCATTTCTAAAGATGTGAGAGCCATGTTGAAGGCCTTCAGAAGCCATGGGCTTACCCCTTATGGGGACCCTGAGGGGTGGAACCTTTCTCATCCCCACACATTCCAGGCTCACCATGACCAGTGGTGAAAATCCTGCACCCTTATCAGGGGCATTAAGACTTATTCCTTCATCAACTAGTCTATCCAAATTTGACTTCTCTGGGTCCGACCTCTGCCTCTCCTTTGACCACGGCTCGACTGCTGATACTAATGCCCCTTATTCGATGTTTGCTGTCCACTATCCATTCCGAGTCATCCACCAGGGTCATTACTCAAATTTCAGAATACACCTCTTGCTCTCTCCCAACATTCTGTGCTCCATCTCCTTCACAGTCATCTTCGTTGTTTACCCCTCCTCCCTTATTGCTACTCTTCATCCACATTACTAACTACCTCACTTCACACCACCCCATATTCCTCCTGCCACCTCTGCAAACCTTTTGAGTACTCTTGTTTTTTGCCCAGCCAAATGGGATCGATTCTTTGCTATTGTTAGAGTTTGGGGCTGTATGGGAAATCAGCAGTCTCTTCCAGCAATCTCTCCAGAAACAAGTAGGTAAGTAAATAAGTTTCCTTTGCAGTCGTTCCGATCGTTCCTGCCTAGTCACAGTTGCATTGAGTCCCAAGCTCACTATCTATCCTGACTGACCTCACCGGCAAACCTATTCCTGCCCAACCTCACTCCTCCCTTAACGGATTTATGTATTTTTTTGTGGATTTTGTTACATCCAGATGGCTCTACATGTGCTTGGCCGGCAAGGATTCTATCAGTAGACCCTAGTGACTGATCCTGATTTCCCCATTCCTTGAATTGGCGGGAAAATGTATTTGTCTTTTTAATGCAATTGATATCATTATTGTTATTATTGTTATTGATTCTATGATTTTAATTTTTTTATTAAAACTTTGGTAACATTTAAGACAAAGAAATAATACAAAATATCCTTTCCAGAATTCATGGAAAAGGTTAAACAGGTGAGATAGGACCAATAACTGACACATTGGTGATTGGGCACTTATAGAGCCTTTTATGTGTAAATACAATAAAAAAAAAACTTATATTACAACGGGCATGTCATGTATTCTTGCCATCCGTGCCGATTAGGTTAAAATATTTACCGAAACTTTTTTCCAACTCCCTGACTGATCGTCGTGTTTACGACAAAGACTGGTTAGACTGAAAACGGTGAAAAATCTGCTAGTTACAATGACAATACATTGCTACACTATGCCTCCCAGAGGCCAGTGCAAGTCCTACAACAATATTGGCTTCCTTAGACATGACTCCCCCCTTGCATTCTATATTAGTGGAGTGTTTTGTCCAACCATATAGAAAGGGCGTTTTGGCCACAAAGGCGAACACTCGCTCCACAGCCCGCTGCCCTCTATGCTCCCATAACATATTTTATAGGGCCTGTCCTGCTTACAAGTTCGAATCTGAGGTAGCAGTTCTCAGATTCAAACTAGACCTCACTCTGCGTGAGCAAGACAGGAAGCACACTGATGAGGTTTACCTCTCTCTACGTGTTCCAAAGCTGCCATTCGCTCCCCTCCCCTCCCATCTCGTCAAGATGTTTCAGCATCTTCCCTTGTATATCTTCCTTCTACCCCGAAACATCCTCCTTCTACTCCCTCTCTCTCCCAATCAAATTCCTTTGCCCAGTCTAAATCCATATTCTCCAATGCCTACCCCTCCTCCTCCTCACTTTACCAGTTGCACCAGGCAATCTTAATGTTTTACCCCATGTTCTACCACATCCTCTCCTACGCCCACCTCTTCCTCTGCTCCATGGACATCTATCCTCTCTTCCTATCCTTGCTCAGCACCACAATATTTCTCATTGCCGTAATTGATTAGTTTCAGCTCTATCACCGGGAATCCGGTCAAGACTATATGTAGATGGTATTTAGCCATCTTTGCCTCTGGTCCTTGCATGCCAGCCCTATATCAGCTCCAGTCGGCAATACCCTCAATTTCTTCTTGGGCTGCCAAACATGGCTTTCGATTTTCTACCTCCAAAACCTTTCTCATCCTTTTTTCTTATTCACCTATAGGCTCACAACCTCTAGTCTTCCTATATGGCACTAGATCCAATTCCGACCTTTAGGCAAGTTCCTTGGGTCATTTTTGACTCCAAACTGTGTTGGCAAAATCATATTCTCTCTCTTAAGAAAAGCCCCCGTCGACACTTACATAACCTGGGGTTCAGACCGCAAAACACTCCTCCATCTCCATATTACCCTAATTCTCTCTACCCTTGATTATGCCATGTATACATTCTTCTGCCTCCTAATTCAACTAGTCACAATCCACTATCGCGATTTCTGTTTAGCCTTAGGTGGCTTTCGATCCTCTCCAGTTGAGAGCCTATACACTGGATCAGGCCTACCGCCCCTTTTTCGACGACGCGCTCTTTTGTCTTTAGGAAGCTATGCTCGTTTTCATATATTTTCCTCTCTAAGCTAACTGTCCCTCAGTCCCTTCTTCATACCTTCTCCTCCTCTCCACGTTTACGTACCCCTTTCCCTGTTCGCATGGACGCTCACCTTTCTCATTCACCCATTCCTCATCTCCGATCCCTTCCTCTTTCTGCCCAAACTTCCCTCCCTGGCTAATACCTTCATCCTGTAATTGCTCTTCTATTTTCCCTGACCCACGCAAATTAGATGTCCTACCTTCTATCCTCTTCACAGATTTTCTTACACATATCTCTAGTCACTCCTACAGTACCCATGTTTATACAGATAGCTCCAAATCCACATCGGGTACTGGTTTCGCTGTAGATATTCCCTCTCACACATACCACTTTCCCCTTCCTCCTGAATCAAGCGTCCTTACAAAAGAACTTTACGCTATCCTCTTCGTTTTGTACAGGATGTCTTCCATCCCCTACTCCTCCTTCACCATATTCACTGACTTACGCAACTCAATATCACTCATACAATCTTTACACTCTATCAACCCTATAGTCCGTAAAATACAGAATCAATCGTTTTATCCGTCTATGCGATAGAAAACAGTTAAATTTTGATGGATACCCCGCCATGTTGGAATCCCCGGCAATGAAAAAGCAGATGCCTTACCATGATCCGCCGCCTTGTCAACCCAGCAAACCCGCTTTTCACGCAACCGACTACGACCCTCGCTTCAAAACTTTCCTCTATAACCATTGGCACACATTCATACCTCATGTCATGGTCCAATCCACCTCTGTGCTCCTCATGCAATGCTCCTCTCTCAGTCCAAGATATCCTACTATTCTGCCCTCGCTTTATTGAAGCCTGTACCTTCGTTTTTCCTTACTTAACCTGTCTCCCTCGCCCCCCCCCCCCCCCACCTGTCAAACATCCCCGCGGAATCCCCAACCGTTTCAACTGACAACCTGTTCTTCCTCAGATGCATATATCCCCTCCATTTGATCTAATCGCCTTTTATCATAACCTTCCCCTTTCCGTTAATCCCTGTCCTACCCCTTTCACTTCCTCTCTTTCCACGCCTCAACTACCATACATCTTATTATACCATAACTGTTGAATTCAAAAACATTTTGTTCTAATAAAGAACTTTAAACTCCTTCCACCATAGTACTGTAACGCAGTGCTATATGACCTTTGATGTTTTAAAACATCAACCATTCCACATTGCTACCATGCTATATCATCATTGTTAAAGTTCTTATTAAAAAAAGCGATGATGGTGACCATCATAAATGGTAGGTATTGATACAATAATGATAACAGTCATTGTTATGATAGTGATAATAGCTATATATCGTTAGTAGACAGCTATCGATGGGGATCTCTTGATACCTAAAAGGTTTGGAGAAACGAAATACTTCCAGGGAAAAAAAATATTCATCTTTATACTTATTATTCTTATTAACAGTAATAGTAATGATAATGGCAATACTAATGTTAATTATTATTATTATTATTATTGTAACAGTTATAACTGTTAACTTATATCATTAATATCATTTATATGGAAACAAAAGTAATATTTAAAGCCCTCATTTCCAACGACAAAAAGTGCCCTTCTACGCTTTCCTATGCCACCGCCCATATTACAGTCAGTGCACCTCTCTGGTGAGCGTCCGGAGCTGTCACTCAGTAAGTGCACAGATTGCTTGGCCTATTGTATTTGCGTGTGCACATATATATATATATATATATATATATATATATATATATATATATATATATATATATATATATACATATATATATATATATATATATATATATATATATATATATATATATATATATATATATATATATATACGCACATATATAAATATACAATGTGCATAAACATTTTATTTGTTTTGGGGATAAGTAATATATATGAAATATTCAACATGTAATATGATATCAAATGAAATATTCAACGTGTGTGCATAAAGTTTGAACATGTAAAATGGCTTTTATAGCAATGC